TTAGTCTCAAGTGGGCAGAAAATCTTTTTCTACTAATAAACATATACATATAAATATATGCACAGACACTGCACACATGTGCACTTGCTTGCACATACACATATGTTTTAGAATATTTCTATTAATAAACAAAGAAATGAGACAAATACTGAGAGGACACTATTTTTTTCTGATGAAAATCCTTATAGGATGATTGATGATGGTGCGAATAATCAAGTACAGGGTAAAAACTATATGATAAGAAAGAGACATCAACAGAATTGCTGAGCGATGCTCCTGTGCAGACGTTAGGGGACAGAATCTGAGATAAAGACTAGAGAATCGGTTTTAGAAGGAGTTTGAATATTTCATGTGATTTGTATAAGGTTAACAGGTAATTCAGTGTATATTTGACACTGTTAGTTAAAAAATGTAGTGGGGTGCTAGATGCTGTTTTGATTGTCTCGATTTTCTTAATGAAGTAAAAACAAAGTAATCAGTTAAAAAATAAGGCTTTGAATAAGATGATGGGTTTTTGAGAAGAAAAGATAGGTAAGAAACAGTTATCTAAGGGAGGAGAAAAGGTGTAAAGTGTGATTATCTGAAAGCATTGAGGAGTATGTGAGGATGCTGGTAATAAAGTTATAAATTTATTAATAAGAAAATATATTTAAAGTAGGAGTAGTAACCATGTTTGTGTGATTTCCTCTAGACATATAGGGCTCTATGAATGCCAGTGGGGAAAAGGAACAAGTGTATTTATCCAGGAGAAGTTATTTAATAGTGAATAATGAGAAAATTCTGAATGAATGGCAGCTCAAATAATTTTCTCTAAGATCAAAGAGCTAAAAAAATGCAAATTCTGATTTTAAACAAGATGTATCCAACTTTACAGACTCTACCTTCAATTGACTTTGCCAATTTAGATATGGAGAGGCAGACCTTTGATAGAGTTCCAGATAATAGGAAATTCTGACTGTTAGCATAATCCAAAGTCTTTCTGGAGGAGGTTACACTAAAGGAGACCTCAGGTTCTATACGTATGGATGAAGCAAGTCCTGATGACCTAAGGGGAGGCCAAGCCAACAACTAAGCACTCAGAAAGTTTATAACAATCATTCTGTGTGTTTTCAGTTCTTTCCCCACTAAACGCTTCACAAACTCAAAACTCCTTGAGAATACTTGTCACTTAACTCCTTCCCCTCAATTATTCGTGTCACTTAAAGATAGTTTAAAAAAATTAAAAACTAACCTATAGAAATATATATCATATATATAAGAAATATGTATACTATATTATTATATCCAGTATTTATTATACATAATATGCAGCATGTAATACTTATTAAATATATTATAACATATATCACATATAGAATTATGTAAAACTATGAATACAAAGAAAAATTGTAAGTTTTTAAATATATTCGTAATATCTTATTCAGAAATATATAGATGCACTTATTTTAAAGTACTATTCCTTGATGTTTATAGAAAGAAATGGGTTTAGAAATTAAAAAGAAATGAGCTTCTGTGATACACTCTCAATCATCACTGAGCTGAAGTCATCAAAATAATGGTTTACATCTGACTTCTGTTTTCTGCTGTGATAATGTGAATAGGCTTATGAAGGAAAATAAATGAGATCAAAGGGGGCATAAAGATGTAATAGAAAGGGTCTGTGGACAGTTTATGGATTGATCACAAAAGACGCACAGGCTGAAGTAATCAGTTGGTCCTATAATTTTCAGAATTGCCTCATTGATGAAAAAAGTCATTATAGAAAACTTCAGTAAAACAAAAGAAAGAAATTCTAAGTGATATATTGGAATAATGGCCCAAGGAGTCCATAAATACAAATAACTTTGCTTCTGTTTTCCCGATAGACAGGGTTCAAGCAATCATTATCCAAAACGACAGTAGTCTAGCTCTATTGCAGGGAAAACTACATTATTTTATTATGTAGACTGAGACTGGCTTTGGAATCAGAAGCCCTGGACCAAATTCAGCAAGAATCTTAAAATGTAGTAGTTTAGCACAGGGAAAATGAGTATGTGTACATGTGTGTTTGTGAGTGTGTGTTTAAGTGTGCATATGTGCTTGTGAGTATACTCACAACTGGCTCAGAGCACGCAAAGACAATCAAAATGAAGGAAATTTTGATCATAGCATTGGGTGAAGAAAGGGCAGTATGACAGATAAAGAAAAGCTTTGGCTTTCGTAGGGAAATTAGGATGGAAAAGGAACCAGCCCAGATGGCAATGCCTGATATCCCCACAAGGGATTTTTTCCCAGAGAAGTTGTGAAATCCTTAGGGAATCGTGATGGCTCCAGACACCACGACAGGTTTGTGTCATCCCCATAAGTACACAGCATGGTAGTCTCAGGGAAGAGAAGAAGCCTAGCTAATTCTGAACTGGAGCACAGAAGTTGATACAGGTAAAAAAATAACCTTAAAATGTTTTTTTTGTTTGTTTGTTTGTTTATTCCCTGAACATAAAAGCAAGCACTGTGCAGGATTATTTCATTTATTTTTCATTAAATCCTCACAGTGAAGGAGACGGTAAGACAGATGATAATAGTATACACAGTGTCACTCCATGCTGGAAAGCAAAGATGAAAAGAAAAAGCAAAATGCAGGTGTTATTGTTAGGAATAAAAGAAGTCACCTACTGTGGGAGAGGACATAGTGTACGGGTAAATATAAAATAAAGATAGGATGGAAGAATACACAGGAATTTCATTTGGGCAATAGAGAAGGAGGGTGCCGAAAAGTTAAGGAAGATGGAAAGGAGATGAAAGATAAAGACTTGAGATACAAATGAGAAAAAAAGAAGATGGGGTAAAACAGATTCAGGTAAAGAAAAGCAGAGTCCAAAGTAGTAACAGAAGGGTGGTGCCTGTGGCGGGCTCAAAGGAGTAGGGTGCTGGCCACATATACCAGAGGTGGCGTGTTCAAACCCAGGGTAGGCCAAAAAATGAAAAAAAAAAAAAAAGTAGTAACATAAAAGGGAAAAGCAAAGGAAGAATAAATTATTTGCATAGAACAGTGCTTCAGCAGCTCCTGGCATTCTAACCAAAGAATATGAAAGATTTTTCAAGAAACCCTCCAGCTAGGATAAGCCACCTGATTCTTCCCAAATGAAAGCCTTTGGAATTGCTGGGATGACAGGTTAACAGGTGGAAGCAAGTGAAGGGCATTCACATACCATGACTATGCTTTTGTGAAGAGGCTGGGATTTTGATAGAAAGACCCAACACAACATTCACAAGTGGACTATACTACCTATCAAAGATTCCTCTGTGTCTAAGAAATTGGAAATCAATCTGCAAAATAACTTCTTTGTACTCATGTTTCTCAAACAGAAAATTCTCATCCTACATCAGACAAGCAGGAAACAACATAAGCAGGGAAACCTACCTGGTCCTGTGCGCCTAATCCCAGCCCAAGCTCAGAGTTCCCAGACTAGCTCTTGAGATATCCTTCTCCTTTCTCACAAATACCTAAGTGAGAACAAAGAAACCTGGGGTAACTCTCACAGACTCCCTGTCTAAGCTTTTGTTTGAGGCCTCATAGAAAATAGATTTTTTTCTTGATTAAAGATGTTTTAATCCACATGCCAAAGATCCAAAAGGAGTTTCAGGATATGCAAAACTTCTTGAAAGAAGACTGATGTTTAGTCTTTCATGTTTATTCATTCATTGTTTTATTTCTTTATTCAGTTAAAGAAAAAGTTAAAGACTACATGCAGAGTTAGTTGGATTGAAAGGCCCAAAGTAAGAATAAATAGAAAGAATTATGCTGAGGAGGTAGGGAAGGAATGAATCATGGAGCACGTTAAAGGCTAAGAGAAGAACTTTTAACTTTGTTTTAAGTACAATGGGATACTTTAAAGTTGTTTTGCTTGTGATGAATAAATTGGTTTTCTATTTTTTAAAAAAGACATCTATTTGACCTATGGAATGAAGAATTACTGGAATGGGGCACTAGAGGTTGCAGGAAAATTAGTTAGGGAGCCTGAAAGAAATAGGCTATATACTGTATTGGCTCAAGGAGGAGGAAAGAAGGAGATAGTTTTTTGTGTATCTGTGTTTCAGAGACGTTTGAGAATTGGTCAAGAATTGATTTGAAAAGGAAGAGTTTTTAAACATGGTTCCCAAATTCTGCTGTGTTAGAACACTAGCAAAGAATCTTATCAATAGTTATTTTACTATACCTTGTGTATGTTTTTATATGAGCCAATGACCTTTATTCTCTGCTCCTTACTACACTAATGTAAAGTTATAGAAAATTATAAAATGTTAAAATTTATGAAAATTAAATGTTAATATACATAAATTTATTGACTTATGTATATATTTTGAACAGTTATTTCATTACAAATACATTGGAATAGATACCTAGGCAGGTGGAATATACATACACACACATACATGCATCTCTCTCTCTCTTTCTGTGTGGGTGTCTGTGTTTACATACATACATATTTTTATATATGTGCATATATTTAGTATATACACACACACACAGATATATATATTTACACACACTCACACACTCATGGATATGTTTTTATGTGGGTTTGTGATAGCCATAGAATTGTGTTTTGGGGATGTGCTGATGGTAGGGTGACTTTGGTGGGGTTTTTATTATTATTATTATTATATAGCGAAATGCTGTAAGCTATTAAGTCCTTGTTTCTAGCTGCTTATTTTTTGCTGAACTTTGAAAGTTGTCACAAGAAAGTCTAATTCTATACTATCTAAACATTTAATATTTAGTCTAGTCTCCATTTTTCATATAAGCATATTAAATCAAAGAGAAGGCAGGCCATCACATACGACTTTCTAGGGAGCACAAAAAAACCCATTTAGATAATAGTTTTTAACATTACCCTTCCCTCTATCATTCTCCTTATACATTCATAAAGCCATTTACCTGCTTATGTGAGAATTTATTTTCAACCTAGGAGCTGTGAACTAAGTGGGACAGTCCAGCCTCACCCAGCAGTAAGAACACCATGATGAACTTGAATGCATCGCTTGCCAACCACCAAAGTTTCGTTCTGACAGGTATCCCTGGCATGCCAGACAAGAACCCATGGCTGGCTTTTCCCCTGGGACTGCTTTATACACTAACACTTCTGGGAAACAGTACCATCCTAACTGTCATCAAGGTGGATCAGAGTCTCCACGAGCCTATGTACTACTTCCTTTCTATCTTGGCCATCACTGACGTCAGTCTCTCCATGTCCACCTTGCCCTCCATGCTCAGTGTCTTCTGGTTCAATACCCCAGAGATTTCCATTGATGCATGCATCACACAGATGTTCTTCATTCATGTATTTGGAATAGCAGAATCAGGAGTCCTAGTGTCCATGGCCTTTGACAGATTTGTGGCCATCCGAGACCCACTACGCTATGCTTCCATCCTCACCCATGATGTTATTGTAAAGATTGGAATAGCTGCCTTCACCCGGGCAATCTGTGTAGTCTTCCCTGCACCCTTCCTTATAAAGCGGCTACCCTTCTGCCAATCCAATATCTTGTCTCATTCATACTGTCTTCACCAAGATGCAATGAGGCTAGCCTGTGCCAGCACCCGCATCAACATCCTATATGGCCTCATTGTTGTCATCCTCACTCTGGGGCTTGATGCCATTGTTATCCTCTTGTCCTATGTCCTTATCCTAAAGACTGTGCTGGGCATTGCCTCCAATGCTGAAAGGCTCAAAGCCCTCAACACCTGCTTCGCTCACATTTGTGCTATGCTCCTCTTCTATGTTCCTCTTATTGGTGCCACCATGATCCACAGATTTGGGAAGCATTTGTCACCAGTCGTGCACACGCTCATGGCCAATATCTACCTGCTACTCCCGCCTGTGCTAAACCCCATTGTCTATAGTGTGAAGACCAAACAGATACGAAGACGGATCATCCAAATGTTCCAGTGGAAAAGGAACAAAGCCTAATGGAATGGAATCACATGTGAGATGTAGAATAAGCAGCCACTGGAAAACTTAATATGTCAATTTTCAACCCTATGGTGTAGTCAAATTTAAAACTCTGGAAAAATGCAGTGATGGACAAGGTTTGTGGGTGCAGATACAAACAGACTATTCTTGTTCTGTATATATTTTTTTTAAAAATTGCCTATTATTTTCCTTTGTTCAGTTGTGTTGTTTTCCTTGCAAATTTGTAAGTGGCAGTTTATTAGGTAACAGTCCTTTGCCTTATATAGATGTGATCCATATTCTGTCCCATTCTGCCATTTGCTTTGTTACAGTGTCTTTTATCTTTTCACTTACTCACATTCTCTTTTGTCCTTTGACCAAGTTTACCCTGTTCTTTTTTCTATTGGTGAACCTTACTTTCTATCTTCAGTACACATTTATATAACTTCTTATATGGATAATATGATCACATAATAAGATCTTTCATGTAAATCTACAATTTTTGTCATTAACTTTGTTGAAGTAGATCTTTTTTAATGTTTGCCATTATTTCATTATTTTTTAGTTCAATATACAAATATCCATTGTATACCATCAACAATTAGAGAATTATAGTTAAGATGACAACACTAAATATGAAACACGTACAAATAATGCTCTAGAAATATATAGTATTTCTACATGGAAAATTCCTAATTATTATTGAAAATATAAAAAGGCACATGTCTGTAAATATTGCAAACTTGTTATTAGTGGTTTTTTGTAAATTGCTTAGGTACTCCTTCTGTTATTACTCGGGTTGTTGTCTTTCTAGGGATATCAGTATGCCACATAGCAAATTCAGTTTGCTCTGGGGGTTCAGAAGGATTGTAGCAAAGAGCTGGCCCACTAGGGGAAACACATATCTGATATTGGGTGTTATTACATATGTAAATAACTTCAGGATTTGCTGTACATTAATAATGAGAGTAAACCAATAACACAATTTTGACAGTTTATCTAGCTTGGGTTGCCTTTTGGATACTTTTTCACAACCTTCATCATGTCTTACACCTAAGATTAAAGAAGGAAGGTGAAAAAGTCCCAAGCAAAGAACCAGTAATCAATCTGATTACTGTATATGCATATTTTTGAATGTATGAGTTTTGGTGTCTGGTATCACAAATATCTAATTTAATTTAATAATATCATATACTTCTTTGAAACTGGAAATGGGCATGCATCAGAAAAAATTCTGACCTGTTTATCCAGATAATACTTATGAGTGTTTACTATTATAATGTTAAGTAATATTTTCTTTATTTATCATTAAATAATAATTAGAGTAAGAGGGATTCAAGAAGTCCTATAGCATTGACTGTTGAAGGATAGGCTATCTGAAAATATTTTTATTTTCTTAAAATAGAGGCAAGAAAACCATTACTTTTTTTTTTTTAATAAAAGAAAACTGTTGTAGGACCAAAAATATTTATCATTATGTTTAGGTATTTATTGGGTTAAGGATAGCTACAATAAAATTAAGACACATCTGTGGTTCCTTGATACATATCTTTTCTTTTAAATGATACTCATGTTACTACTTTAAAGATGTATTGTTGTTCTAATTTTCTGCCACATACTTAGTAGATTAATAGGTATTCTGCCTTTGTACTTTTGACCCAGCAGAAGTGTCATCAATTTTCCTGAATACTATGATATCTAGTAAAACTTTATTGAATAAAATTATTCCTGTACTTCCATAAGGCAAGTAAAAATTCTCAGCACAATGAAGATGTTTAAGAATGCAGGGTACATAGGTGTGGAATGAATATGTCAAATGCAATGTGCTTTTGCAAGGAGGATGGTATCTCCTTTAAGCATTGTGATAATTCGCACAGGCAGGGCACACCTGAGAGCCTGGAGCATAGGAGATCAACTTCACTTGGCTCCATTGCTGACCATATGACCTTGTATGCCTTAGTTTTCCCATCGCCACTAGGGAAATGGGGGCAGGAAGCAAATTTAGTTAGCTATGTATACCCCTTCCAGCTCTCACACTCTGAGGCTTTGTGTCTTTCTAGGCAGGGTGGGGACTGGGAACGGTCCTTAAAGCAGTCCTCATATTGCACTGCTCCCTACAGTTCCTGGCCATGAACTCCTCCAGGGAAATGAAGCAAGAAGCAGCAGAGCTCAGGGGCAGAAGGACTCCCAGACCCTGGAAATAGGACAGAGATATGCAACCTTCCAAGACTCTGTCCTATGTCCTATGCCAAAAGTCTTGAAGCGGGAACTTCCCATAAGGGCCGATGGTTTGGTGACCCTGGGTGCCCTCCTGCTACCTGCAGCTGCCCGAGTTCCACAGCTTCTCAGCTGCAGATGTGCAACGCATACTAATGGGAAGCAGTGGTTTGCCCTGTAGCCAGGAGATCCCAGCACAAGCCCTCTATCCATACCAATTAGAACCACTCTCTGCAAGTACCTGAATTGGAGCTGATGATCCTGAAGATGCCACATGCCCTGACCCTGATGCTAGTCTAAAGCACATTCTGGAAGCACTGGCCAACCATCCTGCCAGAGAAGGACATGTACCCACTTAGTCCCAAGACTGCCTCGTTACCCTGGTGACATCAGTGGCATGCAGCCAGACCATGAAGTAGCTGTGCTCATCAGTAGACTTATTAGGAAAAGCCCCTTTCCTTGGCTAGTCATAAAGAAACAAGGGTCAGAGTAGCCCCAGAGAAAGAGGAGTAATCAACAATAAAATATTAATTTATAAAAATAAATTTTAAAAATTAGAATAACCAATTTTTGTGAGTGGAGAAATCTGAGGGTCCAGTTTTAGTCTTTTACATGTGGATATCCAGTTCTTCCTGCACCATTTATTGAATAGGGATTCTTTCCCCAAGTGTACGTTCTTGTTTGGTTTATCAAAGATTACATGGCTGTAAGATGTTAGTTTCATTTCCTAGTTTTCTATTTGATCCCAAATGTCTATATCCCTGTTTTGGGGCCATTACCATGCTGTTTTGACAACTATGGCCTTGTAGTATAGCCTAAGGTCTGGTATGCTGATGTCTCAGCTTTGTTTTTACTACTAAGAACTGCCTTAGCTATATGAGTTTTTTCTGGTTCTATACAAAATGAAGAATTATTTTTTCCAAGTTTTGAAAGTATGATGTTGGCAATATAATAGGATTGGTCTTGAATCAGTAGGTTGATTTGGGAAGCATAGACATTTTAACAATGTTAATTTTTCCCAGCCATGAGCACAGTATGTTCTTCTATTTGTTAATATCCTCTGCTATTTCTTTTCTTAGAGTTTCATAATTTTCTTTATAGCGGTTCTTTACCTGTTTTGTTAGTTATATTCCTTGGTATTTCATTTTCTTTGCAGCTATATTGAAGGGGGTTGTGTTCTCAATTAGCCTCTCATTTTGGCTGTTATTAATGTATACAAAGGTTACTGACTTGTGGACATTGATTTTATAGCCTGAGATATTACTGTATTCTTTGATGACTACCAGGAGTCTTGTGGTTAAGTCTTCGGGATTCTCTAAGATCATATGGTCAGCAAAGAGGGATATTTTGACCTCCTCTGCTTTCATTTGGATGCCCTTTATTTCCTTTTCTTGCCTGATTGCATTGGCTAGAACTTCCAGCACTATGTTGAATAGTAGTGGTTATAAAGGACAACCTTGTCTGGTTCCAATTCTAAGTGGAAAAGCTTTCAGTTTTACTCCATTCAGTAAACTATTAGCTGTGGGTTTGTCATACATAGTTTTAATCAGAAAAGACCTAAAGTTAAAGCAAGAAATGATAAAAAATCCTCAAAGAAAGTATAGGAAAAACTCTTGAAGATATCACCCTGGGGAAAGACTTTATGAAAAAGACTTCCATGGCAATTGCAATAACAACAAAAATAAACAAATACAACTTAATTAAATTGAAAAGCTTCTGTACAGCTAAGGATACAACAACCAAAGCAAATAGATAACCTACACAATGGGAAAGGATATTTGCATATTTTGAATCAGACCAAAGCTAGATAACCAGGGACCATAGAGAACTCAAATTAATCCACATGAAAAAAGCCAACAATCCCATATACCTATGGGCAAGAGAGATGAATACAACCTTCTCTAAAAAAAACAGATGAATGGCTAACAAACATATGAAAAAATATTCATCATCCTTAATTATTAGAGAAATGCAATTCAAAACCACCCTGAGATATCATCTAACCTCAGCAAAAATGGCCCACATCACAAAATCTCAAAACTTCAAATGCTGGTGTGGATGTGGAGAGAAATGAACACTTTTACACTGCTGGTGGGACTGTAAACTAATACAACCTTTTTGGAAGAAAGTATGGAGAAACCTCAAAGAACTCAAGCTCGACCTCCCATTTGATCCTACAATCCCATTACTGGACATCTACCCAGAAGGAAAAAAATTCTTTTACCATAAGGGCACTTTCACCAGACTATTTATTGCAGCTCAATTTACAGTTGCCAAAGTGTGGAAACAGCCTAAATTCCCACTAACCCAGGAATGGATTAACAAGCTGTGGCTTATGTATACCATGGAATACTATTCAGCTATTAAAAAAGATGTAGACTTTACCTCTTTGTATTAACCTGGATGGAAGTGGAACACATTATTCTTAGTAAAGCATCACAAGAATGGAGAAGCAAAAATCCTATGTACTCAATTTTGATATGAGGACAATTAATGACAGTACACAGTGAGGGGTGGGGGGAAAGAAAGAGCTGAGAGGGGGAAAGAGGAAGGGAGATTGGGGAAGGGGAGAGCAGAGAGAGGAAAGGAAGGAGGAAGTGGGGGTGATTGAAGGTGTGTGACACAACTTTTGGGGGCAGGACACAATTATAAGAGGAATTTTACCTAACAAATGCAATCAATGTAACCTGGTTCTTTTTACCATCAATGAATCCCCAACAATAATGTGTGTGTGTGTGTGTGTGTGTGTGTGTGTATTTAATATATATTAAAGAAATTAAAGAAACTCATTTAAAACCATG